TAGTTTTGTCCTAGACTGCCATGGGGTCAAAATATTTCCCCCAGATGTGACTTAACTGCTTTTGGAAGAATTGTTTTCATATAATAGTGGGCTGGTTTTGAAACTCTATGTCTCCATTCATTTTTAAAAATTGTGTATATCGAATTAATTTTATGCAAATGATTTTTATTTTTATTTCTTTATTTTAACCAAATATCAGTTTATTTTATGAGTATAGTTTTTAAGCATACTTTACGAATTATGTTTTAATAAGGAAGATTTTTTTCCACAAAAAATATATTCACTTAATCAGTCAATTAATCACCATGATTGACTAGATAATCGCCAAAAAAAGTAATAATAATAATAATAAAGTCTATGGATCCATCTCTGCGTAACACTTAATTAAAAATAATTTCAAGCATGAGGAAGTTAAATAAATACCTTATGTTACATACACTCTTGTAATGATTACGAAAGATCTCTGATCTTACTCCTTTTCCTTCTTTTTTAACTTAGGTATTTGTAATATCGATGCTGATCATCAACCTGTAATACTTTATCCGTGATTTATTTAAACGGTTATTGACTTTTGAAATATAACATGTTCTCTTTGAAACTTCGTAGAATATATATATTTGCATATACAATATATGCATAGTAAATTGTTACCAACCCTTACAATCTCTGAAAACTTGATCAAAGTCAGATTAATGATTGTAGGTATTATTCGAATCACGTGGATTTGACTACAGATAGACATGGAACAAAATTGTTCATTGATGTCTAAAACGTAGAATTCCAGATGAATTTTTCAATTCTGAGAAGAAAAGTTTTTAAAACTTCATGGTTGTATACAAAGCTTCCTTGCCTTTGATATGAAGGAGACAAATATAAACTATAAAAATCTGGTACGGTGCGCGCATCACACAACTTTCACTTACCACCCTCGTTTTAGCAAAAATAAGTATTTTCAGTCAAAGGGGAGTAACATTTAAAATTACAGATGGTATGAAACATTATTTAAAACAATTAATTACCCTATGTTTTTGATAACCGGCTAATATATAATATTTATTTTGTTTGACACTAGCTATTTCCTTTTACAACTGTATATTTCAGTTATTTATTTGGTTATAATAAATAATTAAGTGCCACGAAAAATTTTTAGTCCGAAAAGAGTGCTACTGATAAAGAAGGGTGCTATATTTATTTATATTTCATGGTGGCTATTTTTGTTTAAGTACCGGTATATATACAAATTTTAATTTTTATATCGCTGTAATCTATACCATTAAATATTAAATAATACAAACGATAGCATTTATGAAAACAGCATATGTTTATGTATATAATATTGTCCGAGTCCATATTATATTAGGCCCATGTTACGTATGGAAGCCTGTTCTTATCATTCGGGTGAGCTCGGGTACGCTCGTATTCCTTTTGTCTCTATATTACTATTTGGACTCAGATTCATAATTTTTCACGATCGCAATACTTACCCTTACTATATATTACATATATAGGTAAGTGAAAGTAAAAAAGCACCATAACTACAATCCACGAAGATACTCTTCTGGTGGTTCTTGGGTTCAATGCCTTGAGCTATTGCCACTCAAAGATGTTTCTACTACATACTTCCCTACATAAATGAATGAATGAAAGAATGAAATTAGAAGAAATTTTTTACAACCCTCTATGGGAAATTTAGAGAAACAACTATGTAGTGAATGGGAGATTTCAATGGATGTATTGGGGAAGAAGCAGTGTTGGGAAACGGTAGTTTTGGAAGAAGAAATGGAGGAGGAAATAGAACAGTAAATTTTTTTTCACCGAACCTCAAAATAGGAAACATCTTTTTCGTTAAAAACAGAAGAAACTTCCCTGTATAGTAGAATATGTAACGGTTTAAATCCCAAATTTTCATCAAATACCGTAATTATGGAAAGATAATAATAAAACTCAAAGCTGTGTTTTAATTAAAAACAGTGCTAGGCATATTAGCTCTACGCAATGGTATACCATGTTTTCTTTCTTCTAGCAGATTACGGCTATGTCACTTGTTATATATATAATGTTTTAGCCCAATATTTGAGTATTTTTCTATTCAATTTTAAAAACCTTTATAACGAAAAAAACTTGTGTCTATGTTTTTTTTTTAATATTCCACCTTTTCATTTCGGTAGTATAGCTACTTATAGATATGCACGTTAAATGTTCTCTATCGGTATCAATGAATTATATTATTATTTAGTTTGTATTTCTGAAGATACGTCGCACCTGCGCCCAGTGCCGGTAGCGAGGCGATTAGAAGCAGGAGAAGGATGAGAAAGTGGTAGGAATTTGACTCTGAGGGAGTGGTTGGGACTTTCCCCTCATAAGCCTTCTGGATATCTTCCACTTCTCAATTAATATTTGCTTTTTCCTCACGTTTTTATTGTAATGAATAATTGTATACAAAAAGCTAAAATATAAATTATTATCAATTATTTTCAGGATGAATGAATTGGTTATTTCAGAAACGACATATGTAAAAAATTCATTTTGAAAACTAAAAAAAAGTATTTTATACTTAAATTTCAAAAGATAAAAATATATGCTACAATAAACCCTCACGAAAATATGCAATAAGATAAATATCATTTTAAAAAGTTCATATACTTTCGTGATAATGGCCAACTAAGCAACGGGTGTATATCATTTCTCAGCATTCTTATTAACGCATATACTCTTGATTTTTTAACTCATCTCTTTCTTTCCCTGCTTCGCTTCTTCTCCATTTTTTTTCCTTCTCTCCTCTTCTTTTCAACTACAAGAACCATAATTTATTTTTAAAATCTTTCTCTATCCTGGTATTCTTCTTCTATAATGCCTTGTCTTGTTATTTCCTGTTTCATCTGTCTAGGCTATCCTCCAATGTTTCTTAGTCTGGTCACTGTCGAATATCTGTTTGTACTGCCTGTTTTCATTCATGCTTTTTATGTACCCTAAAAATTTTAGTCTACTTTTCCTCATTGCTGTTTCCAAATTCCTTCATTTCACTAGCGGATCCAGAATTTAATTTTGGGGGGGGCTTCAGCCCGAAACCTTTTTTTTTCATAAAAATAACGATAATTACTTTGGAAAAACAGAAAGAAACTAACTACCTATATGAAATGGTGTTTAAGTGATTCCTTAAGACCTTTTAAATGTAATTACACGAACAATAATACTTTAAGAGGTAGTTTTTAAATTTTTTTTTCCATAAAACATGGTTGTGTTTTTCCATTTTGGGGGAGGCTTCAGCCCGAAAGCCCCCCCCCCCCCGTAGATCCGCCCGTGCTTCATTTAGTTCTTTGTCGTTGTTTTTTTTTAGGTCTTTCTCTTCTCCTATTTTTCTTGGTCCGTGGATACCTCTTAGGATTTTAATTTCTATTTTTAGTAGTTTCTTCAAACCAGTAAACCCCATTGTTTTCTATCCATATCACTGGTCTCACCATAATTTTTCATAGTGTCTGATTTTTGCTTTTTTCCCAAGGGTTACGGAATTATTGTATTATTGTACAACTTGGCAAGAGAAAAATAATAAAAAGATGAAAATGGCAGTATTTTTTAAATACTTCCAGGAGGGAGAGGGAGAAACACTTTATTTTCATAAAGATATAAAATATAAAAGATTGCTGCCCAATTATATTGGGTTGCTATATACACAAAATTCCCTTCAATCCTTAGGACAATAAATGAACTTATATATAAATATACAGAAGTATTAGTTTATATTAGTAAAATAGATTTTATTTTTTTTTTTCAAAAGTCACTGACTATTCAATGAGTGAGTGGCTACTTCTCCAAAACCAGCAAGAACCCGGTGTAAAATTTATTTTTTAAGTTGTTTATGTATTTTTTTCTGTTTATATTTTTGAATGTATAATTCTAATTGATTTTATTTATCTTTATAACCAATAATAAAAATAAATACAAATTTCTGGAATAATACTGTCAAAATGTATAAACCATATGAAATAAATTCTAAAAAAAAAAAAAATAAATACTCACCAGTTTAATGAATGAAAGACATGAATTCAGTGTGTTAAAGAAGTTCAGCTTCTTTGTCAATGACCACACAAAGAGATCACGCTAGAATTGTGCGCAACAGTCAGTCCCCTCCAACCTGTATCACCCACTTTGTAGAGGCTAGATGTGCCCTAGGATGGTCTCCTAAACTCAGATATTAAAAATTAGATGTGATATTAAAAAAATAAATAATTATCTGCTGCAGTAGGACTTAAATACGGGCCCAGTAGTTAGGAGGGCTCTGCCTGCTGCACTCCTCTTGAGCTGCATCCCCACTCAAACTTTGTCATTTTTTTTTATTCCCAACAAGTGGCATGTGTCCCCCTTTAGGTCTGCAATTGTCCCTGTACCACTATTGCCCATGTTGTTTGTTATGACAAAATATAATTTTAATCAATCAACAAATATTAAAATAAAAAAAATTACGAATATTATTTTATTTTTAAATATAATATGCCATCTGAAAGAAGTACAGTTTCGTGTAGGACTGAAACCTCACTTCTCCTTAAAATTACTAATAAATCAAATCAAAGATATGTTTTTTCAAATATTTATCTAGATGAATAAAAAATATATATGATATATAGTATAATGGGGACTCACTACCATCTTGTTTAATAAAAATAATCTGTATCAGATGTATCTTCTTTTGTATTAAGTATATCAATACTTTTTATCTTCTTTCTATAAATAATAATTTCTCAACCAGAACTTTTATTTTATTTTTATAATGGAATTTCGTTGGAAAGTAAACAATAATTGAGAAAAGAAATCAGTTGGTGTTCAATAGAAGTGATCTATTGTGAGACTGATACTTCTTTACTTAATTTTTTTTTACAGGGTGTAGATGACTTTTCCTATTACAAAGTTTTGTTACTGAGAAAATAAGATTTTTTCTTTATTGTTCCATTTGAATTAGATTTTTATAATCATAATTTGCATATATTTTTTATTTCCAGGTTGCAATGGCTGGAGATTTCATAATTGCTGTTGCCTCCATGCTGCTTGGAAGAACAGAAAATAATGATGTAGTCATATCTATGAGCCAGGTAATCTTTAAAAATATTATTTAGATGTTAAATTCGGTGATGATAGTTCAGTTTCGTTCAACATATCTTTTTTTCAATGTGACATTTATTAAAAATATCATAGCTCAGTGGATATACCAATTAAGTTCCATTTGTGCCTTGATTGTATAAAAAAGGTGATTTTCTATAGACATGTAACTATTATTGTTACTAAAGGAAATCCAACCACTGAACAACAAAAAAGTAAAATGAAACAATGAAGAAAATGTAAATACCTATTGGTAAACTGTATCAAAATTGATATAATATTTTTATTTCTTTATATTTTTTTAATTACTATACATTAATTACAATGTTTTGCTGATCTAGTTTAGTTTGAATAATATTTGTATCTTGTTTGTCTGATATGAGGAGAAAACTCTGAAATTAGAATCTTGAATTTCAAATTGTCACTGAACAATTTTTAACCTAAAAAGCCATAAAATTTACATATTTTTAAAAAGTAAATACACTGTATGCAAAATGTATTATTTGGAAATGAATCATTAAAAATCTATCCTTAATACCACACCTTATGTATATCCACAACAGTTTAGATTTCATATAAGATATATGATATATTTATAATTGTGGGTTTATGGTTGACTGTAGTGAATAATCGAAGAGAAGGATGGTTGTAATGATCAGTTAAATTGAAATGGTAAAAAAATTATTTATAAAATTATTTATTTTTTACCATTTCAATTTGACTGATCACCCCAACCATTCTTCTCTTCAATTATGATATATTTATGTTATAAAATGATATATTTTTATTTCAGGCCATTAATGATCTTTGCCAAGGTGAATTTATGCAACTTGGATCAAAAGAAACTGAAAATGAGAGGTTTGCCCATTACTTGACTAAAACATACCGAAAAACTGCAAGCTTAATTGCTAATTCATTAAAATCAGTAAGTGATGTTAAGTAAAATTTTTACCGTACATTTGCTGATTTATTTGGAAAAAATAATAATTTTAATTCTCTTCGCTATAACAGAATACTAACTGATTATGTTTGCAGGTAGCACTTCTTGCAGGAGCAGATGATCAACTTGTCGAAATAGCTTACCAGTATGGAAGAAATATTGGTCTTGCTTTTCAGTTGGTTGATGATTTGTTAGATTTTGTTTCATCCTCAGACACAATGGGAAAGCCAACTGCAGCAGACTTAAAATTAGGACTGGCAACAGCACCAGTTCTATTTGCTTGTGAAAAGGTTAACATTTTGTTTAATAAAATTTATTTGCAATTAATCCTATATATTATTTCTAAAAGGTGTTTTTTTTGTTGTTACACCATAACTTTGTCAATTCTTCATCAAATCCAATGTTGACCACAAATTTTGAAGATATTGTTCTCCTTCATATGAAAAAAATAGTCCTATCTATCTGAAATTTCTTGAAACAAAGTTATGAAGGAACAGAAACTCTATTCGTGGATTTCCAGTCCTAATTAAATATGCATTTTTTCGGGATTGTGCCCACGATAATCAAAAAGATTACTAAATAACCTACAAAACAATAAAAGAAATAAATCGGGCAATTATTAGCAAAGATACAGTCCATTAGTTATGGTATACTTAATAGTTTCTTCCTCTTTAAAGATACTGCATTTACTGTTCTGCTATCTTTTTTTTACTGGCTGATATATGCTTTATTATTTCTTAAAGGCACTTTGTTCTTTGTAAATTTTATATTCTTTAATCATTTAGAAAATCCCATGATTGAGGCTTTATTTTTAATGTTACCTTTTCAGCCAGCATTTAGAAAAAGGCTCTAGCAAAGGAATTTGTACAAATTTTTGATCTATTATGTTAAATGGAATATTGTAATCGACCCAGGAATAATAATTAATTCCTCCCTTATATAATGCATAGAATCTATTTATTTCCATATTCTTTTGCTATTCCTTCACTAATGAAAATTGTCTGTGAATTATTCGCACGGGCCAACTAGCAGATATATTACTAGCAGATATAAATTAAACAGTGAAATTAAAATAATTAATTATTCAAATAAAACTATTAAACTGTTAAATTAAATAATTTAACTGCTTCATTATAGAAAAAAAAAATCAATCAGAAATGTTAAAGTCCATAGCCAAAAGTTACGTTAACTAATTCCAATCAGTTTTCTTTTATATTGTCATATAAGTTAGAAACTGTTATTTAATGAAAATCCGTTGTTGTTTTTTTCTTTCTTAAAACTCTAATAATAAATTATTAGGATAAGAAAGATGAGGAACCAATCTTTCATTTTGCTCTTGTTTATGCTTACCATAAGACATCATCAAACCTATTCTGACGCCATAAAATAATCTTGAAGGTTTTCTAGCTTGTCCAAATTAAATTAAAAATGTTGTTAACAATTTTTCTCTTTATTTTATAATTTATACAGCAAATAAATATCATGACTGATAAGAAAATTATGTTGTTGACTTAATGCATGAACAACCAAGTGTTTTTAAATTTCTTGCATTCAGTAGGAGTTGGTTTAAGGTCAATTAAGGAAACATCATGTTAATAACTTTTAAAATATATATAAATTTGTTTCTATTATATTTTCTTTGTATCCAGATCAACTTTGTGAGCCTTACAGAGATATTTTAACAATTAATAATTTTTAACAGTCGGTAAAGAGTGGTTACTATCTCTTTGAAATCCTAGGCAACTTTAAAATCCTAGGCAAAATCATATGTTTTCTCTCAGAAGAAGAAATCTTAAAAAATATCTGAACCTCTTTTTTTCCTCTTACCATTTTTTTTTTTTTTTTTTTACTTAACACGCGAACTTTAAATAACTAAACTTTAATAACAATAAACAACTTTTAACCTTAACGTGCATTCTACATTTTTTAAATTTTATCCAATTCTTAATATTTATAACCAAAAAATATAATAATATATATTTTTAATTAACGGCGTTGATGACCAACAGGTTCTATTCCTTTACTACACAACCAACCAACCAGCTACTATCTCTTACAAAAGACACCCCTAACAAATGATATTGGAAATAGTAAAATAAATTAATAATAATACAATAAATATAGCTGATTTTTTTTATTGCAATAATTATAGAATGATAAATATAAAAAAAAAAGTTATCAAAAATACCTAAATAATTGTAATTAGTATAAAAAATAAATAAATAAAATAGTTTAAAAATTGCAATTATTTGGCTTTTATAATTTTCTCATAAACATATACAGGTTTTTATTGAATTCTTCAACCAATTTCAATTTAAGAAAAAATTGGAATTGGTTGTTTTTCTTTAAATTCACAGACACGATATCTTCTCATTATGTAATATTTACTGATATTTTCATTTGTTTTAGTACCCAGAGTTGAATCCAATGATAATGCGTCGGTTTCAAGAACCAGGAGATGTAGAAAAAGCTTTCGATTTGGTTCATAAGTCTCAAGGATTGGAACAAACACAATTTCTCGCCAAGAAGCACTGCCTTGAGGCTGTAAGGCTTGCCAACTCAATAGTCGAGTCGGATTATCAAAAAGCTTTGATCATAGTTTCCGATTTGGTCATAAACAGAATGAAGTAGCCGAATCATCCATAAAATGAAAAGAAATTTAGCTTTCTAAATATTAGGTTTACACCAAAGGGCGAATGGATGTGCTAAGGTTAGATTTAAATGTTTGTATTTATGTTACAAATACTCATTTCTTTTTTTTTTCTTCCAAAAATAGTATATTTTGATATGAATGTGTGTGACTGAGAATGTTGTAATCAATGATTATTGCTCAAAAATTTAGATTTTCCGTTTCAAACGGATTTAAATAAGGATTATATATTAATCAATATGATTGTTTTATAAAATTATACATGTTGTTTAATATAGTATATATAATATTTCTTTGTATATGTGTACGGGTGTATTTATCTGCTCGCTCACAAATTGTAAAAAATGTTTTGTAAATAGCCTAATAGTGGACAGTATTGAATAATTTCTAATACTGGAAAAGCCTACTCTGTAATAATTTAAATATTGATATTATTAGTATTAATGAAATACTAATTCAGTATTCATGTGAAAATTTTATGTGGTACCTAATACGACATTATCTGTATAGCAGATAAATATGTTCATTTTTATTTCCAAAAATTGTACACAGGATAATGTAATGAAGATCTTTAGTTTATATATATACATATATTCTAATCATATTTTATTGTAAGTGTTTCTTGTTAAATAACATTCATATTATATGTATTCGTTAACATTTTACCATCTTACATTAAGTGACACTTATGTATAAAAAAAAAAAAAAGCAACAACAATTATTACATTTTAAATGACTTGATTAGTTAGTATCTAGTTTCTACTCAATTAATCTGTGAAGAGAGATCTGAGTGTCAGCATTTACGAGGTCCATTCTTTAATGTTCTTTTAACAGCCTCTTATGAAGAGGTTTATTTGGTTTTATTTTTTAAATTAATCTTGCAAATAGTATCAGTACTGTTTACTTTCCTCATAGCAGGAGAGGAAATGGAATAGGTCTCGTAGTATAGTGATTTTAGTACAAAAATAGAAATGCTTAAAGCATCAATTGTTGAAAAATTAGTGTGATTTTTATTTGGCGACAGTTGCAAAATAAACCAATGTGAATTCAAAACTAATAGATCTTTTGGTTGTTCAAAATTAGTGACAAATTCATTAAAAATATACTTACATAATAAAATGTAAATACATATAAATAAAATTATTAAAAAATCAGGGAATATAAAGTAAATCTAATTCTCAATGTTTACATTCATGCATTTAAAATTAATAACAATATAAATGTTGGACCTTTTTAATTTAAATCTTGATAATTTTTATTTATTTTTTTAAATAAACGCTGATAGAATTAATTTTTATTACAGCACAAAGAAGTTACTGAAACCAGTATTCATACATTAAACCTATTATAAATATTTGCTATCTAACATAATAAACTCGACAATATTATAGATAGATTCATGCATTCATTTGGTTGTGCCTTCCTTTTACTATGTATCATTAGAGTTATATAACCTTATTTATTTAATTATACTTGTAATATTAATAATTTAATTTTGTAAGTAAAATATTGTTTCAATTGTAATCTAATTTGTACTCAACTGTACATTAACCATGTAAATTAAAACCTGTTTATGCGTATATATTTATACATGTGATTGTATATATAAATCTATTATTTTAAAAATGTGTATATATTTATAGTACTTATTTAATTCATGTATAATTTGTTTTTGGTTATGGGATAAATGTATAAATAAACAAACGATTTTCTGTAAACCAAAAATAAATGTAGAGAACTTAAGATCTTGTTTATCTTCTATTACTTTTACCTTATTCCTAGGCTCCATAAATACCTCAGTTTTACAAAATTATAACTTTTTTTTTATTGCCTGAATTTAAGGATTGAATAACTTATACTGCAATATTTTTCAACTGAAAAAATATAAAAAATAAATTATTATTGGTGAATTTCTTCAACAATTTTTGGCTAAGCCATGTTAGATGATCATATTCAAATAAATGATACTCATATGATTTAAATACAGTCAAATGGTTCAAAATAAGTGATAAGGATGTTTTGGAGTAATTGTTATGTTTAAGATCATAGTCCGTGGTCATAGTAAATCAAATTATTAACATCCGCCTGAAACTTCGTAAATAGTTTCATCTCATCGTAACCTATAACTATTTTATTTACAAAAACTCTTGGAATTGGGACGTTTTCAATCTGGAGGGGAGCAAACTTTGTCTATTTAATTAATAATAATAATAATAAAAGGCTTAGCGAACCCGAAGGTTCGATGCCGACAACACTAATCGCTTATTACACACCTCCCTCCACCGTTCGCCGTCCAAACCCACTCCCTTCAGATCGGCTTTAATGCAGTCTTCCCACCTTCGCTTCGGTCTACCCCTCGGACACTTACCATTCGGCACAGCAAATATTAACCTTTTAGGAATTCTCTCGTTACTAAGCCCAACAACTTTACAAGCCCATTTGATTCGTCGCGATGAAATTATCTCAATTATATTACCCGGATACAGTTCAGCAATTCGGCGTTGTGTAACCGTCTGAACTGTCTATTTAATTAGTTACTAAAAACTCATAAGTACACATTTGCTTTCTACTTGGATCGTAAGATAATTAGATCCCAAAGTCGAGAAAAAAGGTGGCCTTCAAAAATATTGAGCTATTTGTTGTGACCTACACCACCAAATTTTCGAGGCTATACAGAACAAACGACCCAATATTTTTGTCGGCCACCTTTTTTATCAATTTTGTGATCAATTAATTTTACGATCCAAGTAGAAAGCAAATGAGTATTTACCAGTTTTTAGTACCTAATTAAATAGACAAAGTTTGCCCCCTCCAGATTGAAAACGCCGCAATTCCAAGATATCCAAGATTTTTCATAAATAAAATATTTTTAGATTATGAGATGAAACTATTTACGAAGTTTCAGAGGGATGTTAATAATTCGATAAAAAGGGGTCTGTACTAAGGACTATCATATTTTATCAGCTCCCCTATTGAGGATGATTATAAATGAGATAGAACAATAATAATAATGGTAAGTGGGGGCAAGGTTGCCTAGGAACAATCTGATGATAAACCGAAGATTACGTGTTCAAATTCTGTTGCCAGTGGGAGTTTTAATTCTGTTTAATTTCCTCACCCTGGGAAAACACTGTATAGCCTAAAAGGGCAAGCCAGGAAAAAAAATAATAATAAAAATACACAGCCTCAGGACTTCTTAATACAATTTAGGGAGGGAGTTCTATCATTGAGTAGTATCTCGACAATCCTGTTCATTTAATTATTCTTGATATTTTCAAATTTACTGGATATATTTATTTAATACAGTAGTAAATTTCAACAAATAGAAAAAAACAACCACAACAAAACTTTATTTTAAGACTATCAAACAAAATAAATAATAATCATGTTCTCCCTCCCCTCCGTTCAGGCAATGCAGTGTATGCAAGAAAAGAAAACAGATCAGACTTACAGTTAGGGTATTCTATAGGTTACAAAACAAATGTTTCATTTAAACACCTCAAAGCTAGTAAAACAATATTTAAATATATCAAGAATGAAACAAAAAAAGAAAATCAATAAAATTTAAAAAATACTTTATTTATAATAAATTATAGATATTGTTAATAGTTGAATGTCAATAAAAAAATAATAAATCAAACTTTTAACAATCAATTAAATAAGATTTCCATTTTAATATACAAACTAAAATAATATTGATCAGACAAATAATTGTACAAACATATCTAATTAGAAATTAAAATATATACCAGCAGCACTAAACTCCACAAAGAACAAATATTACATCATACATCATGATCAATGGTCGTGCCATCACTAATTCAGTACTGAATAAAAGAAATAATTTTTCAATACAAGTATAATAATTAATGAGAAATAATAAAAAATTAAATTAGCAGCTAATTGGTATTAAAATAAAAACAATTAAATGTCATTCTTAGAACTTAATAAATATTGGGTATTTTAATTTCGTTTTGGTGTATTATATCAAGATAAGTTTTGATGGTGTGATGAGATTTTTTATTTTAAATAGTGTAGAAAGCTATAAAAAATATTTTGTAGTTATAAATATACCTATTAAGTAAGCATACATAAATTTTATATGTGCATACATATTACATTTAGACAAAGATAATTGACTATAATGCTAAAACTGAGCTATGTTATAATAATACTAATGACTTAAAATTAATAAGAAATAATGAGATGGAATATAATACAGTAAGCTTATGGTACAATGAAACCAAATCATACATTCCAATATTAAAATTCGAATTTATAGAGAAACTAATTTTAAAGATTCTTAAAACAATTTCCCAATTCCTTTTAAAATACCAGTCAATAGAGTTACATTAGTTTTAGAAATGATTGATAGAAAATAAAATTATACGAACGATGGTTGCAGAATTAATTTAAAAGCTTTAAAATTGTATTTTAAACTTTTTTCAAATTTATGTGGAATGAATTAAAACAATAGTAGCGAATGCTGTTGTTTTATATTATATTTTATATGAAATTTGTAAATTATAAGTGATATTAATTTTTTTGTCACTGAAATGTTTTACCTTTTTAAACTTAAAATTTTAATAAATCTATTAATTGGTATAATATAAAAAATTATCTATTAGGTACTTGACTGTAAACCAAAAAAATACTTTAATCTTAATTCAAAATTATTCCTAAACAAATATATAATTATTAAACAATTACATATTTTAAAAACAATAATAGCTAAATAAATTTTCATTGTAGCATAATAATGTTTAATAAAAATAAATAAAATAAGAGCAAAAACAAACAGAATAACCTTTAGAAGGTTGAATTTCATTTCACTATTTTATGTTAATCAAAATACTGACATTTAACATCAATAGAACTTTAAACAATATATATACAAATCAACTTATAAAACATGTCTAATATTTTAAAATTCAGTATATATAAAATAGAAATTCTTTAAACAAAAATGAATACCAAAACCTTCAATTGCAAAGAAAATTTTATGGACGGATCATTATTTTAAATCAGATCACTTTTATAAAGGTACATAAGGACGGATAGATATTGATAAATCACTTGGAAGACACATCAGTATTGGACTGATTATCATAAAAACGTAAATCTTAACTTATAAGTGTGAAGGGCCTATTCATTCTCCTAATGAATATATATCAGTTCTGAGAAGAAATTTCTCAACAGAAAATGTCCATATTATGCAGCAACTACGCTTTGGTCTCCTGTTCCATTTCAAATCGACTTTGAGATTCTTTAAGATATTTTCTTTTCTTCTTTTGAACCATACCTTCAGTGAGAAAAAAACCTCCTGCAATGAATGATGCAAGACAGCCTGCGATCGCTAAAGCGAATGCCCATCCAAAGAAATTATTTTCATGCCCCAACATCCAACCATCTTGGTTTGCCCAGATAGCAAATACTATAATAGCTAAGCCACTACAAAAACCTGAAACACAATAATGAGAAATACTTAGTTATCATTATAAAAAAGTTAACAGATAGTTTTAGAGGGATTTTATCAGTATTAATTTTGGGTCCTATAAATATACTAATAATTTATTCGAATATATGAGTAAGGTAGGTGTGTACAATATTTTACAACGTTTAACTTTGAACTGCAGCAAAATTCTAGTCGAGGATAAAAAATATAAATATGTATGCATAGGATATAAGCAGTATTCATCCTATCATTGCTAAGTATGTTAAACCTCTTCAGTGTATTAAATTCAAGAAAATTACTTAACATTATTGTGCTAATGTGAGCCAATAGCATATTAGGATTTAACATGGTCTGTGGTTAGTTGAAAAGTGCTAATTTTATAAACTGAGAGGAAGATTACACTAAGGTTTTAAACTTATATTTACTAATCTTGTTCTAAGTGAAATGGAATAAAATAAAAAAAAAGTTAGATGGAAGAGGACAAAAACCTCCTCTTATTCACAACCACACAAAACCCTATAAAGTTTAAAGTGAATAATTTTCTTTCTACAATTCTTTATAAATTTAGAGTTACCCATTTTGAGAAATAAGCAATTAAAAAAAATAATAAATAATTAAACATTAAAATCTACAAGAGATACCCAAGCTATTCAAGTAGAGGTTTCAAATTAGTACAGCTAATAACAACATAGCATGTTAGTACTACAACACATTAAGTAGTTAACACAAGTTGTGTTAATACCTCTATAATATATTTCATTTAAAACGCCTCCATTTGATAATCTTAAAAATGATTATTTTTGAACATTTAATTGTGGAAAAAAATTCTATGATTTGACTTTTTTTGAGCATGTCTTAAATACATATATTAATTACTTACATATTAATTTAAAATATTTTGAAACCTAAATGTGTACTATATATATTTGAGGGGTTTAGAATGATAATGGCAAAAGTCAAGTTTGCATTTTGTGCAAAAAAACAAACAACTTATACCACTATCATTCTAAACTCCTTATTTGTACTTGTTAATGACTACGAGTATATTCTGTATATGTAAATATATATTTATATTGACTTTGCTATAAAATAAATATTAATGACAGAATATTTTTTAGATAAATGATATGATGTATATAACTTAATAACTTACCTACTGCAACCATAATAATGCCAACCAGAAAAGTAAGTTTTACAAAATACTTTTGATCCGGTCCACAGCATAAAAAGAATAGCAAAACTAATATAAATGACAGTAGGATCCCAATGAACGCCAACGTATAAAAAAATTGAGTGGCTATTATAAATGCTAGAAAAGAAAAAATGATATTAAATTAAATACTAACCAATAGTATATCATATATATAAGCACAAAATTATCACTTATATAGTTATTAATCAGCATGAATTATTTACCTGAAACTATCACTATATAGAAATCAATTATTCTATTTGTTAAGGGCACTCAGTATGGGTTTGAATAAGCACCATCTATTGGCGAAGAAGAACAACACAGCCCTCCCTACCTGGTGACCTGGGACCAGAAGGGTCAAAATACAAGACACCTGAGCCAGTATGAGTCTGCCTACAAAATGATCTCCATGACCCAGCATAAACAGAATATGTCTAGCTAGACTCTAGCATCATGAAGTGGTCCTGGAAGAAGCAGCAGGGATGCCAGCACGCCAGCCCATAACACTACATACATGACTCTTACATAGGCAGAAGCAGAACATAGCCAGTCCTTCGAAGGGAGACTCGGAACATCTATCTCATCAATTCAACAGCAAACAACCAACTGGTCAGCCTATCGATTACAATAAATTCAAACACTAACATACTAATCTCAATGGGGGGCGGGGTGACCGAATGGGCTAAAGAGTGTGCACAGCACCGCGAGTTGCCCGGCAACCAGATATATGAAGATTTGAGAGACAAAAATAAGTACGAGTTCGCGTCCCGGTGCCGGAGGGAATTTTAAATTCTCCGCCCTCACCCTCCGGCCTGGGGAAATCCCGTATAGCCTAAACGGCGAGGTAGGGAAGAACATAAAAAAAAATACTAATCTCAATGTAAATAATTTAGCAACCCCCTTTAGCAGCATAGAACATTTAATTTTATTTCGTAGTATATTTTATGTCAACCTTAATTTGATTTAATCACTTCATCCTCCTTCTGATCATTCTTGTTAGCATTGAGGTTTTATTCCCTCTACTTCAGGAATAGGGAAGGTCTGATACCTCATTCCTGCTCAGTCTAAACATAATATTTCTGGATAATTAATAAAATCAGTTAACTCTTTGACTGCAGATGGGATAAATAACTTCCTGATAGCAGTTGGGTCACTGCCTCTGCCTTGGCTGTCACCACTTTAAGAAGTAGAGGCAAGTCTCGTCTTCACCATTTGAATTGTAGGATGGTCGGTGCATTCATTTTGGTACAATAAGTCCCCTGCAGTGCGATCGTTCCTGATTCTGACCAAAAGGAAGCTATCAGTTGTAGATTTATTCTGAACCCAAGTTACGTCCTTTCTCTGTCATTTGTGTCATATACATTATCTTATTTATATTCTATTTAAATGTTTTATACATCAGAAAAATGTTAATAAGTTAATTTTATATATATATTTTTTTTAATTTAGGTTCTGACTGAATGCTGATTTCGGTACACACGAATCTCTGACTAGACAGACAGGATAAACAAATAAATGTAAGTTTCCTACATCTTATATATGCACAGAGTGTTTCAGGGTTAAGTGGCCAAACTGCAAAAATGAACTAAGGACCTCAAAACAAGAAAAAAATTTCTGCTGAAGATATGTCCGCAAATGCTTTGTTTGGGAGATATTCACATCTAAAGATTTTCGTTGTTATGAATTATTTACCTTATATGAAATAAATAAACTATTTATTTGTTCTAACTACTTCATTAATTAAATGTAAACATTAACATTCATATTAAAAGTTGTTCAAAGTGAAGGTATGTCTGCAAATGCTTTGTTTAAGAGATGGATTAGATAGAATACTAATATGGATTTTTATCCCTAACTGTATAAAAACTATTGGCAACACAAGGATTAATACTATTTGGAATTAGCATTGGGAACTCTCAATAACATTTATCAGTTTGTAAGAGGCTTTCGCAGAGTACTCATCATTATGCCTTCCATTCATACTAATGGTGAATATGCCGATATGGTGTTTGTATATGGTTTTTGCAATGGTAATGCTAATGCTGCCCATCGTGAATATGCCAGACAATTTCTGAATAGAAGATTACCAAACAAGTCTATCTTTCCATGTTCCATGGTTCAACTTTTTAGAGGAACTGGTACATTTCCTATAATACCAGGTACTGATGGTATTTTTGTCTCTTTAAGAAAAAAAGAAAGGAGTGCGACCATATTACAATATTTTGATGATAATCTATCTGGCAGTGTACAAAGAGCTGGAGCAGAATTAAATATTCTGTCCAACTACAGTATGGAGAGCTCCATTTCAAGATGGACTTTACCCATATCATTATCAACAGGAACAAAATTTATTACAAGATTTTCGGCAAAGAAGAAATTTTTCAGATGGGTATTTAAATCAAGTTGAACATAATCCACAATCATCAGGAAAAATTCTCTGGACAGGTGAAGCTACCTTTACAAGAAGAGGTATTTTCAAAAAAATAATCATCTCTGGTCGCAGGAAAAACCCCATGCAATTCGTGAGCATCATTTTCAGCACCAATTTCAGTGCAATGTGTGGTTGGGCATAATAGACAATATTTTAATAGGTCCGTATTTCCAGCCGCCTCGACTAAATGCGGGCACATTTATGGAATTTCTTAATAATAATTACTATGATTTAGTTGAACATATTCCACTACAACTGAGAAGGGGCATGTGGCTTCAAATAGATGGTTGTCTGGCATATTACGAAAAGATCTACAACAATGGCTTAATGTTAATTATCGCAATCAATGGAATGGCCGTGTAGGAACAGTGGCTTAGCCTGCACACTCTCCAGACCTGACACCATTGGATTATTTTGTTTGGGGTGACATTAAAAAAAAAGTCTATGCAAGTCCAGTCAATGACCTCAATTCCCTAAGAATAAGGATAATTGAATCTTGTGAAACAATAACACATATCCAGTGCCGCTCTGCCACTGCTGCTGTTGAAGAAAGATGCTGAGCCTGTCTTAACGCTCAAGGAAATCATTTTGAACAACATTTAATATGAATTTAATGTTTACGTTTAATTAATAAAGAAGTTTGAACAAATAAATAAGTTTTATTTACTTAATATAACATAAATAATTTATAACAACGAAAATCTTTAGGTGTGAATATCTCCTAAACAAGCGTTTGCGGACATACCTTCATAAGAATTTTTTTTCTTGTTTTGAGGTCCTTATTTCATACTTTCAGTTTGGTCACTTAATCCCAAAACACCCTGTATAATGTAATAAATAAATATAAAAATATACAAAAATTAAAATGTAGTAGTAAAAATTAATAAATGTGAAAATATACAGAATTAAAATGGTACTTTAGTCGTTTTATCATTTTTCCATCCACTTAAAAACTATATATATATTTCATATAATATATAAGTGTTTGAGACTCAAAATAACTATAAGAGCAATTATAAAATTTATAACTGCGCTGTTTCAATATGGAGCTTTTTTAGGTTAGAAAAAAATTTTTATATACAAAGAAATATATAATTTGAATAACATTGTGGGTGTTTTTTTCCCTAGAAATAACATAATTTAATTTTTATGATCACACAGTTATTTTCATGATAATTTTCAGTTATTTTGCTTATCAGAATTGAGCAAATACGCAAGATAGCGAAGCGCTACGGGATAGCAGCTCTAATTTTTCATTGGCATTTGTGGCCGGGAAGGTATATGTCCCGTTTATTAAAAGTTAAATAAAAAGATTAAAATGCATTTTAGAAAGCTAAGATCTTGCAAGGTGATTTAAAAAAGTATTTAAAATAAACTTATGAAAAAAAAAATCCATTTTTCTGAACGCCTTTTTGAATTTCGGGACCCACCATACAGTAGAAACACTCAAATGAGCTCTCACAGTCAAAGAGTTAATAAATTGAGTGAATAATGAGTCCATAACACATACACTGACTCACCAATTAAAGGAAAGATGCATTTTTAGGTTTGATTATGTTCCTGGCTTGTACTAAAACTAACTTTTAATAGGTATTTCTAGTTAAAGTTGATTTGTGTCAATTTAAATAACTAAATGTAGTATCTAAACACTTTAATACTACTGTACAAGTGTTTCTCTGTCCACTTTGAAAAGCGGGCCAAGTTATTATGATTACTCTATAAATAGAATTTCGAAAATCTGATGTGTTCATGATATAATATCTCTTAATTAAGATAGTGATTTAAACAACTTCCGCAAACTCCTGATTAGTCCAAATCAGTAAAAATTGGAGCCATAATTAGATCGATGCTTTAGACTTCTGTTCACTCTGCTCTTTCAAAAGGGATTCACAAACCCATAATGGGTCAATTTCATATCATGAAAGAGAGATTTTGGATCACCGGACAAGGTGGAGTGACATTTGAACAATAGTCCCAAAGAAAGCCTGTTCCCTCAACATAACTTCTGACAGCTACCTTGTCAAATATACAATTAAAAAAAATAAAATGGCCTCAGAATTTAAGACAAATTAATGTCTAATTAAAATACCAGAAAATGGGCAAATTAATAACTGATATTAATTTATAAATAGGTTGTTAATATATAAGCAAAGGTAATAGTTATATGTGTGAGCACTAAAAGATTCTCATTAAGTTTTTTTTACCACTACTTAGTACAATAAACATAAGTACTTACGTGGCATTAAGTATCCTCTAATCTCATCATATCCTGTAGTAAAGGGGTCATAAATCCATCGGCATCCAACAAAAAATCTTCTTTGGTATTCATCTTTAGGATCTGGGAGTGATCTGAAACAATGTGTCCATAGACCCAATCGGTCAAATTTGGCTCCAGTGATTCGACGATCTGAGATGAGCCAACTCGATGAGCAGAATGAAATGAAAATGCAAATTAATGCAAAAATGAAAACAGCAACACCAACATTTCCCGACAAAGTCCTTTTTTTAGCCATCTAAAAACAAAATATCTATTATAATTTCAATAGCAAATCACTGGTATTTAAAATAATTATAATCCAATAAGTACTTTTTAAGATTGAAGCCAACTCATTCGTTTAAATTTAAATTTTGAGTGTAAAACAAAAACTGATAACACAAAAACTAAAACATAAAGCAACTTGTTTTGTTTACCGTATCACAGCACATAACACACCCATTTGAGAGCGAGGTTAGAAAATTGATTAATCGATACTTACCTTCGACTATTATCGATACCATTTATAGAAATGAAGCTTCAATCGGTTTTTCAATTGAGTAATTGAAAAATATTTAAAGAATGGAAAGAAAGAAAACCGTTGCTCACTTCGACTAATTGCCTGGCAGTGTGATGTAAGAGGGACAACACTCAACCAAATAGCCTCGGCTCATGAATTCCCACTCCCAGTACACGTAATGTGGGAACTAGTAATAATTGTACTCCGAGTGATGCTTTCTTTACTTCAAGGCTATCTTTACAGATAATGCACGTGACCCATTTACTCATGCTTCAATAGTTACTTCAATTTGGAACCCAATACTATTCAATGAACATCTTTCCGAAACTTTTTTTCTTTTCCTTTTCTATTAAAGCAATGGAGAACTTCTTTTGTGATTGCTCCTTTAAATCTCAAATCCATCATTCATTGCCATCATTCATTGCCATTACTGGAGAAAAGTCCTGATGAAGACCTACAAAATAGGTCGAAACGTAGTCTAACCAAATAAACATTGTTAAATATAGTACATGTTTGCTGACCGCATCTCCGATCAACTTCTTCTCAAATCCATTGATATATAAAAAAACAATGATTTCGAACATATATGTACATCCTTTGATCTTGAGTATTCACAGTTCAATAATAAACCTTTGGAATTGACCAAGAAAAAAAAAAAATTACCACCTCTTAATATTCGAGGTTTCACATTTCAAGACACGTAGAATCTACGAATCAAAAAATGAAATTTTTTTTTATTGACACCAGAAACCCAACATTACCATCCCCATCGGTAGATTTTCGATTGTCATACACCACCTTCTGCGGTTTTTATCAAAGATTATAGGATTAATGTTTTTACATTTTGGCACCAAAGTCAGAACATCTCAGGATGATCCTCGGAAATCAAAATCTCTATCCGCTTTTTAATTTTAAATTGGCAGACGATTAGTCATTTCAGGTATAAGAAAAAATAAAATGTTTTAAAGTCATTATGCCTTATTAAGATAAAAGGTATTAAAGTAAATAAAAATTATTCATTATTCCAATTTTGCTTTCTTACTACTTACCGTAGTTTTGTATTCATTAAGGAGCTTAAAACAAATTTTGTGCTTAAAAGCGATAAGTTCTTGCATTTTACGTTTTGGACATCAAGGAACAATTTTGGTTCCTTGTCTGTCTTTCGGTCACTCCGTCTATCCTTAGTCAAATCGCTCTTCGATCATATCACTTCTGGATAAATACACCAGTAGCTGACATGCTTAAGGAAATTTATTTGAACTTTTACGTGTAAAAAGTTAAATATTGATGTTATTATACTTTTCACGTATTCATCTTATAGAACTATTACTCACCTTACCAAGACATATTTCAATTCGATGAAACATTCATCTAAATTATATAGAAATCAGGTGCGGTGCGCGCATCACTTACCACCCTCTTACGATATTATTAGGAACAGAAACATTTAGTTTGTCCCTTATAAATACGGATCAACTCCTGTAATACAGACCTGGATGAAAAACACAGATTCTAAATATTTTACTGGTAAAATAATTGAAAAATCATTATTTTTCAAATGAATTTTAAAAAACAAATAAAGATTGTATTTACGCAATTATGTTTATTATACAAAATCCCCAGATCACGAAAAAACAAGAAATAGAAGCTTCATAACAAGTAATTATATTCATTTTTGCTGAAAACAGAGGTACTTTTAAGTGACAAGATAAAAAAATCATATTTTTTTACACAATTTTTTCCCAAATAAAACTCAACTTAATTAATACAGACTTGAAGCTTATTAAACAAAATAGTTTTTCTAAAATTGAGTCATCTGTAGTATAGTTGGATTATGATAAAAAAAAAATCGCGAATAATTAATGATTTTTTTAAAGACAGAATTTATCATAGTTTATCTGCTTCAATTGGCTTTAACAATGACAAATTCTTTTTGATTTCGAAAAAAAAAATGTTTAGTTCACTGTGAAACAATTTTCAATTACTTAATTAAATATTTTTTTACTTACCGCTTCCTATTCGACAAAAAACATGACTTACTTGAAAAAAAAACACAATACTTGAATTTCATACTTTTCTGCTGAAAATTGCCCCATTGGTTATATGATTTTTTTTTGTAACTCTAGAGGTCTGCTATTATTACTATAAAAACTTTTCTCTACTGTACAATAGTAAGAATACACCATTTATTGCCATCAATATATATTTATAATACCAATAAAATTAAACAGAAACAAGAATAAAATGACTATTTTTAACAAATTGCTATTCAATAAAACACAAAGAAACAATGCTACATTATAACTAAATAATAATCATAACAAATAACTAATTCTTCAATGGCGAGTTGGATGATTCTCCTTTATTTAAATATATCGAAGAAGAAATATCTGAACCAATCGGAATCTAAAACAGTCATAATATAAAATGTTATATAAATAGTATAATATAATATAAATAGTAAATGTTAACTATTGAATTTTTCATCTACTTTAACTAAAATTGTAAAAATCAGGAATATATTTACAAAATAGTATACTACTTTTTATAGGGTCCATCGTTCAAGCAATTTATAATAATTAAAAATAAAGTTTGTAATGCAAATTATGTTTTCAACGCTTACCTTCAGAATTCCTTCTTTCACTTACTGGAATGTATAAATTATGACAACCTGTGTGAGTATTGAATTGGCCATCTGAAAATTAATATATTCAAGGAAAGATTATTACTTTTTTTATAGTGTATTCGTTAAATTACGTAAAAATAAGAAAGATTACTGCGCGTTTCACGACAAAAGGTATGATGAAGTTTGTCAATAAATATACAATATATTTTTCATTTTTCTTTGCTTCTACTTTTCTTAAAACTCTTATCAGTAAAAGGATAAATTTTCTAATTATTAAAATTATATTATTTGCATTCGTATTTGTATAAACTATATTTAATTGTTATACCAAATTAAATATTACATAATTAAAAAATATTTGTAATTTAATGTACAACGATCACAAAGAATAAGTTTGGTTTCCAGACACCAATGGAATAGCATATTATTACAAGTTCGGTTATAAAAAAAAATATTTTATAATCTAAAGTACATGTGATATCTAGGTTCCAACTACACTCCAACTGATACGTTAACGAAATCACATTTCTATAGAATCATAATATGTAACCAGAGCATAAGTTAGGAATTTATTTAATCCAATACTTTTCAGTGCATCACACATGCAATCATAAACCAGATGATTAATCATTTTCTTCAATAAAGTTATTACCAGCTAAATAACTGTTTGGTTGTTATTGTTCATGTGCTAAACTAATACAATTAGCTAGGCTTTTATTACTAGTTTTCACATAAGGTGCTGTGAATGGATCGTAACTGAAAAATGCTGTTTTTCAAAACTTGCTACTATGGAGGATACTTTATCTTCCTTTATAGTCGTTCATAATCACAGTGGTAGGAGTATGGACTGTTTTACAAAATTATTTTTAAAATAAGTTACTTCTTTTGTGAAGAAAATGATTTATCATCTGGTTAATGATCGAATGTGATGATGTCAATAGATGGTTTGAGCGTCTGTACGTCTTTGGATTGGCATTTACAGATGAATAAAATCTATTCAAGATATTCAATTAATTTTCAACTGCACAGCGCCTAATAGGAAATAAGCAAAGGGTGGGCGTTGGATAAATAACAATAACCTCTGCAGAAGTATAGGATTTAAAAATAACACACGAAAAAGGAATACAGAATTCCCCAGAGATTGTAGACTGTAGTCCTTAACATTAAGGACATAAAAGTTAAGCATTTAGTTGAATTCGTTAACGAAACGTTTCTTTTAGCGACTTTAATTTATTAATTAAGAACTTTACAGAAATAATGTAAATGTAACTTGGAACAGAGCAACAGGATAGTATGGTATTTTAATTTATCGAGATTGCAGAATCACAATACCAACGATAATAATTTTTGTATCGGTCAATCCACGAAATCCCGAAATTCCCAATCTGACTCGAAATGATTAGTTATCAGCAGGATAACCACCCTTGTATAGGCAACTTTCAAAATTTAATTAAAGTAAAGACAAATAACTGTAATGAGTTCAACATAGGCAACATTCGACTTATTTTGGTAGTGGACTTTATTTTGATGAAGTGGTAAGTTATATGAATTGTGGAAAATAATCTCACTCTTTCATGCTGGCATAGACATCTTACTCAACTGAGAGAACCCTCCAGACTGCTACAGTTGATGCCTTTGGAAATTTCTGCCTAGGAATGGGTGACTGCATCTGCAGCTGGCGCGGATTAAATTTAATCTTTTAGATCTTATCTGATGTGTTTTCACTATTCACCGCAAAGCGACAATCGGGTATAAGAGCTTTCATACAAAACAATCCTTTATACTATAAAACACCAGTAAAAAAAATACAAGTACAGCGCTCTTGTTCTTGATATAATAAATCAATCAGAATTATACATTTAATCATATATTAAATAAATAGCAAAATTACCGGCCCAAATGTGTCCAATGATAGTTCAAAGTAGCCACAATCAATTCGATATTTGTGATGTGCAGTTTTCAGCAGAAGAATTTCCAACTAAAAAATTGTAAGCTTTCTAGAAACACTATACATATAAATAAATTTATTTATTATACATATACATATACCTTTATGCATATATATAAAGTTAAAATATGTATTTTGGATGAGATCTCTCATTAAAATCTTTTT